GTGAATAATATACGTATGTATATGAAGTCATATATGTAATTATAACTAATATTGTTCCTCAGCAATGTACCAAAAGAAACAATACAATTTTTTTTTTCATAAATAGTTTGTAAGTGATGCAGTGCGCTGTATACTTATAGGGGTGACCTTATGGATAAGTGTCGGATTTTTATTTTTATTTTCAAATTAATTTTAGTTACTTTTTTATAAAAAATATAGTTCATTCTATGACAAAAACCATGTAAATCCAAGTATCAAGTTTTGTACAAAAATTAAAAGAAAATCAAAGTTTGACCAAAATTAAACACTTTTTATTCAGAATAAAAAGTGTGGAATTTCGATTAAAACGTACTAGCGCAAAAGAGAAAGCACAAGTTGTCCCTTCTTATTATTTACGTTCTTTGATGAAACTTTGTTGATTAGCTTTTAATCTTTGTACAAAGTTTTAAACTTTGATTAACAAGGTTTTTGGCATACAATGAACTATATTATCTATAAAAACAAGTGAATAAAACTAATTTGAAAATAAAAACGAAAATAAAAATTCGAAACTTATCCATATTGGGTGACCTATACACTCATATGACTGAAAAAATTATAACCAATACTGTTCCTTGGTAATGTGCCACAAATATTAATTAATAATTATTTTGTGTTCTTACTAAATAACTTAAATATATACGTTTTCTATACCTGCAACTTTATTGGCTTTTTATTTGATTTTGACATACAATGTTTTAAACCATGATAAGACGTAATCATACGACCTTTTACAACAAAAAAGGGACGTATCTCTCGAAAGAGAAGATGAAACCAATTCAAGTAAGTACTCGATAATTTGCCGATACTGAGTAGGTATCGATACTTTCAGTCTTTTGAGTACAAGTACTCATTAGAGTGATACCTTAGTGGTATCGATTGAATCCTATGGATACGTATTTTGTATTTCGCCAAATGAAGTTGATAACAAGATTAAATGTGAAATTGGTTAGGTTGAAGCTATTGCCATAGTTACTCGGTTTAAAATACAATCTTATAGACTTTACGACATGGACGCAACTGAAAGCCAAGCAAATAGTTGTGTTTAATCAACGTAATAAAACTGAAAAAGTTTTCAAAGCGTATGGCGGACAGGTGCTTACAATTGTTGGCGTGTTTGAGGCCCACGTTGAGATAGGCGGCAAGGAAGCTTCAGCTGATTTTTATGTTATGCAAGGGGATGGAAAATTTCTGATTGGCCGCGATACAGCAACGGCATTGGGTGTATTGTAAATCGGTCACCATATAAACAAAATTTACTGCTATGGAGAAAAAGGAAAACCAATTTGAAAAATTAAACACATTGTTGTTGATATCCCATTGCGTGAAGATGTAGCACCAGTGATACAGCCCTATCGGCAGATTGCAGTACCATTAGAAGCAAGACTCAAGACATTATAGAAAAGGTTGATGGTCCGTCAAAATCCATCTCTGCAATGGTTGAAGTTCCGAAGTATGACGGAAAAGATGTTCGTATTTGTATCGATATGCGTAGAGCTAAAGAGGCAGTTCAACGAGAAAATTACCCGCTACCAACTATGGGGAACTTTTTGCCATATATTGGTAAGGGAAATTGTTTTGGAAAGATTGATGTGAAACAAGCCTTACACCAGGTGGAGATTTGAGAAAAATCTAGAGAAATAACCACATTTAGCACACGTAAAGGGTTGTTTAGATACAAGCGTTTAATGTTCGGTATAACGTGCGTACCTGAGATATTCCAAAAAATTATGGATCAGATGTTAAGCGGCTGCGAAGGGTGCCTGTTCTATAAAGATGATATACTGTTGTATGGGAAGGATAAGGAGGCATTGAATCAGCGCACTGCAAAAGTACTGGAAGTCCTCAAAGAATATGACGTAACCCTAAACCATGACAAATGTGTGTATGGTGAGAGCGAAATTGAGTTCCTTGGTCATCGACTAAATAAAAATGGGATTATGCCCTCAGCAAATAAAGTGATAGCTGTTAAACAATTTCGACGTCCCATGATAACTAAAGAAGTCCGCAGTTTCCTTGGTTTGGTGACCTGTGTGGGTTAGTTTGTACCGGATTTGGCTACCATTACCGAACCACTTCGATCTTTGACAAGAAAAAATCCCATTTTTATGTGGGACGAGACACACCAACAAGCATTTGACAAATTAAACAGCTGATAACGAGCGATATGCTACTGGGCTATTATAGCGTTGAGGACCATACACAATTGTACGCTGATGGTAGTCCAGTAGGATTGCGAGCTGTATTAATTCAACATGACAAGCATGGACCAAGAATAATTTCGTACGCTAGCAAAAGTTTATCAGATGTTGAGAAACAATATTGCCAAACTGAAAAGGAAGATCTCTCCCTCGTGTGGGCGGTTGAACGGTTCCACTATTCGGCCGAGAGTGAGTTAGTGACAGACCACAAACCTTTAGAGGTAATATTTGGTGCCAAGTCAATCCTACAAGTATGGAGTTGTCTACAAAAAAGGAAAGATCATAGATCATACGAACTCAAATACTACATTTGATAACGATTCAGAGCATTATGTCAATTGGGTTGCAAATTTAGCAACTCCAAAAGCATTGGAGATGGATGAAATTGTGGAGTTCTCGGAAAGGGATGAGACTATACTAGCATTAAAAAAGCAATATACCAAAATGAGTGGCCAGATTCCTTGAAATCATTCCAGCTGTTTGAAATGGAACTTTGTTTTTCAGGCAGTATATTATTACGCGGCACACGTATTATTATACCCGAAGCACTACGTGAAATAACTGTCCAGCTTGCACACGAAGGCCATCCTGGGATGACAGTCATGAAACGCTGCTTAGGAGCAAAAGTATGGTGGCCAAAAATAGATCAACATGTTGAGAATTTCGTTAAAAGTTGTTATGGTTGTACGCTAGTAACAGCTCCGCCACCACCAGAACCTATGAAAAGGAAGGAATTACCATCGGAACCATGGCAGCACGTATCAATGGATTTTCTTGGACCACTCCCGTCCGGTCATAATTTGCTCGTTTCGGTTGATTATTACATCCACTTTGTAGAAATCGATGCTATGAAGAAAATTGACTCTACAGAAACAATTCAACGCCTTTGCAGTATATTCGCTTGTTTTGGCACGCCACTTTCCATCACGCCCGACAATGGAAGACAGTTGATAAGCGAAAAATTATAATGACAATAACATTAAAGTGATAAGTACAATTCCATACTGGCCACAGCAAAATGGAGATGTGGAAAGTCAAAACCGATCCATATTAAAGCGCCTGGTTATCAGCCAACTGTTGAAACAAGATTGGGTGGCAGATCTACAAAGCTATCTTCACATGTATCGCTCGACAGAACGTTCCACTACTTTAAAAACACCGGCTGAGTTGATGTTTGGTCGAAATATTCGCGATAAAATGCCAACAATATTTCAACCATTAGAGAAGAATAATAAAACTTTTGATCGCGATAAAGAAAAGTGAGAAAATAAAAGACGTGTAATATAAAATTTTTATGAAATAAAAAGGAAAGGAGTAATGTAGTATCTGGTAACACTAAGGGCCAGTTTTTCAGTGCACGGCCGTGGTTTAAACTAAGTTTAAACGCCCGATCTGGAGATTTCAGCCAGCTGTTCAATTCAAACTCAGTTTACTTAATCTAAGTTTAAACTGGCACTGAAAAACTGGCCCATAGAAGTGAAATATCTGGTAACATAAGAATGTCAAAAGGGAGAATTTAAATAAAGACAGAGGAGTGCAAGTATCTGAAGAGACAAGACGTATTTAAAATAGATAATAAACTTTACAGTTACTATGCCCGACCGCTCCGCATACCTTTGTGAATCCATTGCCATAACGCGCTCTTACTCCACTGCTATAATTGCAAATGCGTGAGAATTCATAATTTTCCTCAAAATATGTAAAATCAACCAATTTTACTATAAAAAGCACATGATGAGTGGTTTTTAATTCCCTTCCAATTTGTTTTCCTTTATAAAGTTGACTTCGAAAAACAACTGATAGCTGGCAATGCTGAACATTATTCCGCAAGGGTTGCAGAATGTAAGTTCTTCGTTTTTCGTACGAATTACGAAAATTTTAGTTTTAGAATGGGGGTGTATATGTATATATTACTTTAGAAAAACCAACGTGTAACTTTTTATCTTGTGTTCTCTTTTACAAAACTTAGGGGACTCTTAAACTCGTAAAGTCTTAAACTGTGTAAAATTCGTAAGTTTACGAGGCTTTTATGAGAATGCCCCCTTTGTGAAAAGGTGTAAATAGGTGCGTTTTTCACTTCACTTTGGAAGCTTTCACTTCGTCTCTTCATTTCCACAAATTAGATTTAACACCAAAATAAATAGAAATTTCTTTTAAATAAATGATTTTTTTAACCAAAATCAACAATCTTTGCTAAAATTCTTGTTAAATAGTAAGTATGGCAAAGTGGCTTTTCGCAAAAATCTACTAAAAATACGTCTAATAGGGATGCAAATTTTGGGTAGTAACATCGATATATCGATGTTTCGATGCTTCGGAAAAATTAAGATCGATGCTAAAATACATCGCCAGAAAAACATCGATATTTCGATACTTTCGGATGTTTCACAATTTCTTAGGTTGTAGTCACATTAAAGGGAAAATTTAATACTTTTCAATTCAAACTCTCTGAAATTCACTTAGAATAATACCTACATATGGATGTATTTCTCTGTACTTATTTACCATTCCTTTACCTTTCTTATAAGTAGAATAAAAATGAATATCGTCGTAAGTTCGCTGAGACTAAAGTTTGGAGACCCAATTTCGTTGAAATTTCAACGGGAACCCGGTCCTTTTTTAATGAAGTCTAGTGTTTGCTAGTCTGAGTCACGCCAAAGTCGATGTTAAAACATCGTTGAACTGACATCGAAGTATCGTCAATTTAGCGATTTTTGGAAATTGTAAACATCGATGGCAAACATCGAATTTTGAACCGATGTTATCGATGTTTCAAAAATATCAATGCATCGTTTGCATCCCTACTAATAAATCTTCGACCTGCACCCGGTTTCCAACATTCTCTATCGCTAAAACTCCAACGCCAAAAAGTGCTAAATGAATATTAGCAATTTTCAGCGATTTTCGCGATTCTATCATGAAAATGCAACTCTAAAAATCGCCATTTTTGGTTCATTTTTTTACAGATCTTAGAGATGAACAAAATGAACCCGGATAAGGTGAATGAACTGTTTTTGGCAGCTCATACAGCTAAAATGGCGATTCCAGCGTTTTTTCCATCGCCAAAAATACTTATTTTTCGCTTAAAAGCCTGCAAATTTGACGACGACAAAAATTCGGTGCTAAAAAAGTAAATCAACAAAAAATAGGTAATATCTAGATTGTTGNATTTTTTTACAGATCTTAGAGATGAACAAAATGAACCCGGATAAGGTGAATGAACTGTTTTTGGCAGCTCATACAGCTAAAATGGCGATTCCAGCGTTTTTTCCATCGCCAAAAATACTTATTTTTCGCTTAAAAGCCTGCAAATTTGACGACGACAAAAATTCGGTGCTAAAAAAGTAAATCAACAAAAAATAGGTAATATCTAGATTGTTGTTTGTTTAAAATACTCGATTAAATAAAAAATTTTGTAATTCATAGTAAAAATGGAAAACGGCAACCGTAGAAGGGTGACAAAGGAGCAAAAATGTATGCTTGTTCAATATTTGGAAGAACACAGGGAATTTGCTCATGACAGGTATGGAACAGATTTTCTCGTAAATGAAATCGTCTAAGTTGTTTTTTTTTAAGATTGCAAAAGTTTGCTGGAGCAGTGGAACCATCTTGCCCAGAAACTAAACGCGTGTGGAGGAGCCATTAAAGACGGTGAAGGATGGAAAAGAGCGTGGGGATATATGAGGTACATTTCTTTGAAAATTTACATAAGTAGCATTATGATTTCCGAATAATGAAAGGAGCAAGGCCAAACAAAAATCGCAAGATTTGAGAAATTCTATTCAGCGAAGCGGAGTAAATTCGTCTATTACTGCGAAGTATCTGAGTAACCTCGATGAGCGCATCATTGGCGTTATGACCACAGTTACAGTTGTCGGTCAAACGGAAGTTGGCGAGCCACTGGTGAGTTAAAAACATTTGAATTTATAAAATGCTATAAATTCACATGCTATCAAAATGTTTTGTAGTTTGAACATATATGTTACAATTTATGCAATTTTTAATTATAGAGAAGTAGCGGCGCAGTAACTTCCGTGGAAATATTTGACGCTCCTGCGGACCACCTTGACATAGAGGTAGGGTCATCGGCCTTTATGCCTATCTCCGGTTTTATATAACTTTTTAACTACTTTTTAATTACAGATTCTTGAGGAAAGTATGGAGGAACCGCTCACATTAAATATGGTCCCTGAGGATCTACTGCCACCACAACATCGCGCTCCGAAACGGAGAAATTGCTCCTTAGAAGAGGCAAATACGAAAATGATAGCCATTGAAGAACACAGACTTGTCCTGGCCGAAAGGAAAATTACCGCGCTGGAAAACAGGAATTCCATCGAAGAGAGAAAGGCTGACGCTTTGGAGCAAACCAATGCAATATTGTCCAACATTTTCCATAAATTGGACGATTGGGCAAAAATGAGTGCCCAAGCTGCATATTAATGTTTTTTTTTTTAAATATATTTTTCACTCAAGCTTTAGGACAGCGTAGTGATTTTTAATTTTGTTTTGTAGATTAGGTATTTAAGCTGTAGGTTAATTTTTTGAAGCTGTAGAATAGCGCTGTAATTTTTAAATTTGTTTTTAGATTAAGTATTTAAGCTGTAGTGAAAGGTTTAAAGCTGTAGGGCAGCGCTGTAAATTTTCTTGTAAATAAATTAGGTATTTAAGCTGTAGGTTAAGTTTTTGAAGGTGTAGAACAGCCTTGTGATTTTATATATTGAACAACGTAAGTTACTAAAAACACCATTTTGAATTTTGGTGCTATTCCTTTTTTCTTCACATTCAAGACTGATATTTTATTGAGAAAATAATTGAATTATTATAGCGATTAGAACAATTTTATTTTTGGGTTTATTATGGCATCCAATTTCGTAAATTAAAAGAAATTATTAACTACATGTTGTCTCGCAGATATGCCTTGAGGAGATATTTCTCCCTCACTGCCTTCATAAAAAATTTCATTTTCACTTGACATTTGAATATTTTCTAATTCTCCACTGATATTATTCATAATCATAATATTATGCAAAATAATGCATGAATTAATTATTTTTCCTGCTACGATGGGGTCATACATTAACACTCTCTCTCTCTTAGAAGGCAACGAAATCTCAATTTGGGCACTCCAAAGCAGCGTTCAACGCATTTCCTGGTTTTTCTTTGCCATCTATTATAGTTTTCCTCCGATTGAGATAGATTTTTACCCTGAATTGGAGTCATTAAGAAAGGAAGCTGCGGCTATCCACTGTCACCTGTATATAAAATATATGGAACCTAAGTACAAGCAGAAATAATAAAATAGTAAATAACTTCACCTAACAACCAAAAATTTCGTTTACCATTTGAGTATTTATTATCCAACGGAACCTTAAGTGCACTCGCTCTCCATACTGAAGCATCGTGAGCAATTCCACCGAATCTCGCATTACAATCTAATATTTTTAAATTGAAGTCGCATACCTTGGAAAATAATTTATATGATTATGTTGTGATTATGTACATTTCAAATAAATATTACGGCTGTTCAGGATATTGTGCATATGCTCTTGGATTTGCATATTCGGTGCATTTGTAAATTCACAACAATAAAATGCACACGGTTGCCATGGCAGCAATCATAAAATTTGCAAATGCAATTCCAACTGCAAACCCAAGACCATTTCCACAATATCCTGAACAGCCCTATTGATTTATTCTTACCACTTGCACGTTTATTGAGTGACCTCCTTTCCTACACACATATACGTGTTCGATGACCTTGCTTGGTTTCTTTATGTTAATATGGGAACCGTCAATAGCACCTATTACCCCTGGGAAACGGAATTCACGATAAAATCTGTGGAAATCTGCTAACGCTGCTTTGCGAGATATTTAGCAAAAAGATTACGCATTTTCGTGAAAATAATTTGTTTAAAAATATACAAATCTATATTCACCTTGAGCGAAAAATCGCAAAGTTCCAAGGAATCGCACCTGCTGCAATTTCTCGCATATGAGGACGGATCTCCTCAAAGATACTGTTACACATTTCTTTTGTGAGCCTGAAAAGCTCCTCAAACCTCTCTTCAGAAACGTTGAAGGGATCCGTAGACTCCCTCAAGATTTTGCGCTTTTTGCGAAGGCTGTTTTGAGGGGTCAGGTGTGACTTTTTACTAAGTGTGAACTGTACTCTTTCCAATGGGTTGGATATTAAGACCTACGATCCCTCCTCCTCCGCCCACTAACCCAAAAACAGTGGGCAAATAACTAAACATTTCCCCAAGCACTTGCTACGAAGAGTGAACTCCTCTAATATATTTATGTATTTGGTTTGACTCTTAATTAAAAAAAAGTCATATATACACTTGTGATCAGGTAACTAAGCCAGCAACATTTTGATAAATTTTGGCTATTTTGCTTTCGTTTATTTAATGTTTACTATTTCTCCATAAAAGTCTAGCTCATTATATGACAAACACCATATAAATCCAGATTTCAAACTTTTGTGCAAAAATTATCTGCAAAGTTTCAGCTAATTTTTCAACAAGCAAGTCTTAAGTTGTTAAAAAATCGCGATGATTTTTAATCATATTTTTCTGACCGCATTACAAATTTTTTTCCATACAAAATAAATTCGACAATTTGCACATTATTACCCTAGAATTTAATGTGCTATTAAACTGCATACTCAAAAAATTCTAAAAAATCTTAATAAAAAGTTGGTAATTTAGCTGAAACTTTGAAGGTTTTTCATAATTTTTGTACAAAGTTTGAAATCTGGATTTATGTGGTGTTTGTTATATAATGAGCTAGACTTTTATGGAAAAATAATAAACATTAAATAAACAAAAGAAAAATAGCCAAAATGTTGCTGGTTTAATTAGCTGATCACAAGGGTATGTTTATGAAATAAATATATATGTACATACTTATATCAACACTTTCTTGCCATGTCACAGAACAAAGTCAACCAACTATTTTTGATGCGATCAGCATTAAAAACATCCATTGCATCATCCTTTAATAAACATTATTGTTGGATAGGAACGGATTTTCATTTCAAGCGGTAAATACGAAAATCGTGTACAAAGAAGTTTTCCTACTCGTCTATTCAGGCCATGTAGTTCCAGAGCAACTTGCCCGAAAATTGGCTCTGTGTTTTTACAGTAACCACAACATTGTTCATAAAATATGACCATCGTCCTTCCAAGAAACGATTGGATGTGTGATTTAGTAAATAATGGCTAGCAACTTAAGAAGCGGCTTGCATAGTGAATTAAGTTATATTTATAATATTTATTGCTGGTTTTCATGAATAGCATTACAGCAGTTTTTTGTAGTGGTGGTTGCAACAAAATGCTTAATTAACCGACTTGTTTTCACTTTGCAAACACTTCATTTAATTTGCAATCTAAAACTCTTCGATTGTACTTTATTAATTTTATTAATAATTTATATGAATTTATAATAATTCGGTCAAAATTATTGCAAGGTTCTACTTACTTTTATTTTCACTACTTTTCACTATTAAAATCAAAACAAAATTTGACAGCTGCCGTTGCTGCACAGCGCCTTTGGCGGCCGGATAAAGTAGTAAATTTAGGCTGAGCAATTTTTAGCGACAGGGTGGACAGAATCGCAATCTTCGGAGATCGCCAAAAATTCGGATAAAATTGTAGCTTAAGCGTTTTAGCAGATTTTAGCATTTTAGCGGTAGCGAAAGTCGGAATCCGGGTACTGGCATCGGTTATTTGGAAGTCATTTTGGATTTTCATTTTCACATGCGTGTATAGTTGTAAGGCGAACGGAAATGAATGGGTGGATACAAATTTAAAACTATTTAGTAAATATATGAGGAAAATAACAATTATATTTTAGTATTCATACATCCTCAATTTTACACCAAAAAATAAACATTTAAGTGAATATCGGAATGACGTTGTTGCTGTGTATCTGGTAATCGACGATAATCGATTCGTTAAATTTTAGTATTAATAGGTGCGTTCGTTTAAAATCTCCAGCAGAAACCAACCAACTGCCAAATTTCGGCGAAATGTCATCTGTTCTCTCACAAGAGAGAAATATCCAAAATAGTACGCGAACAGAAAATTTGCAGAAACTTGCAAGTTAGACGAACAGCTGATATAATTTTTGTTTACATACAAAAGTGTAAAATTTAAAACGTACGAAAAGTCATCGCAAAGTGTTATACTGACACAGTTTATTGATTAAACAAATAACTACTTATTTCTTACAAGTTTAATTAGTCGCATTTTGTAATTTTTATCTTCAGACCCATCAAATTCAATTTTGTGATTTGCGTAAATGCCAACCAGCTGTTCTTGATCAGCTGTTTTCCTGTTGGCAAATTGCTGTTGGCAAAAATTTTTCCAACAGAAACCAGCAGCTTCCCCTCAAAATGAAATGTCAGTTTGCTCTCTCAATTTCCCCTACTTTGCAAGTTTTTTGCGTACGCGAACGCAAAAACTTGTAAGTTTTGGTTAAACATGAACAATTAACAGCTACGCGAACGAACCTAATATCATCAGTGAACTGTAATTTTTCAGAGCCTAATCTTCTATCTCGAAAAGACCGTTCGTTTCGTCTGCCAGATGTTCGTGTGTTGGCACCGTGTAAATCGAAGTCGTCTGGCAGTACGAAAACAACTGATCGTTACGTAGTTATCGTCTAGTTTAGAATTATCGAACGCGAAAAGAAGACGAAAGTGAATCGACAATCGTTAGAAATAGACGAAAGGTTATTGGTGATCGTCGAAATGGAGAATGCAGCTAAAAAAAATAGTAAATTTACTGAATATATTATTTATTTTGTGAAAAAAAATAAACGTTTGTGTTTTCAGTGCTTAAAAAACTGCAAACACGCAATTCGAGCCTGGTAAATGAATTACAGAGGCAAGAGGATTGCCAGTATTTGGATCTGATCGAGGAAGGTTAGAGGAGAGATGAAGCAAATAAGAATAAAAATAAATTCGCACGGTCCACCAACCAGAAGTGCTATTGAGTGGAAGAAAGTAAGTATATATTTAAATGTATATTTCATGTCAAACAACAATCGGCGAAGTTTTTTCTCTTTATATGGAAGGTATTTTTTATTTATGGTATATTTTTTCTCTTTATAGGTAGGTATCTGCAATAAAAAGTGTATTTGTAATTAAAAACAAATACACTTTTTATTGCAGATATTTGCAGACCTAAAAAGCCGCACAAAAAAAATATTGCTGAAACTGCGCGCAGTATAAATGGTGTTGGTGGGGGTCCATTCCGTCACTCTCCGCTCTCCGAAACGGGACAGATCACTGACCAGTTGATTTGCAAAGCAGCAGCACCCAGCGGCAGGATTTTTGGAGTTTCTGGACCTTCAACATCAGCATCAAATTTCAATGAATCTTCGGATACGGAGATGCCCGCCCTTTTTGTGTTGGAAACTGTAGCGCCAGCGTTCTATTTAATGTTAAGTGTCTATGAATGCATTTGCCGGAAGTCAAAAATTACCTAACGAGAATTGCCTATTACTTTCAACTACATAAAACCCCAACACTCTTATCCCAGTATTTATAACTTGGTGCGAAACTCCACTAACCCTACGGTTCGATAAGGCAGTTATGAGTATGGATGTATTTGTGTGAATGTGTGAGTATGTGAAAGTGGAGCTTTGAGCATGCGTGAGTTGATGAGGGTGAGCGGTTTTTCTCTGCCACTTTTCCCTCTCCACTCTGCGATAGGCCAACGGGAGGTGAACGAGTTAAACGGCCCGGTGATATACCGCCAGCATATCCTGACGAATAGCATGGCTGAATTTCATGGGATCTGAGTTAAGTTAATGTGATAAATTTAGTGGGAAAATTTAAGCCCCGCGATTATCAGTAACCTATACGGAAAACGTCTACAGAAGTCCGCTCATACTTGCAAACCTATGTACATATGTGTAAGCACGGAGCCAATATGTGCGTTTGTGTGTGTGCAAGTATGGCTGCGCTCAGTATACGTATATTTATAGATGTGAAAAATAATTAATCTCCCATGTCACAATTGCAGGTCGCCACGAGGAAAAAACGAAAAAGGAGGCCTCCAATCTGCCGGATGAGCTCCCACTACCATCAGACCGGATACTCGTAAATTTACGCAGCACGACTACCACCAGCTCCATCGATCCGACCGCGCAGGCCCTCTACCACACGCCACTACATACAACCAAATAGAAATTCTGGCGAAGATCGCAGTCCACTCCACAGAAAACGCAACCACAACAAATAGCACGTTAGACCAGCTGATCCAGCGATTGGGCCTCATACACGTCAACAGCCGCCTTACATAACCAAAAATGTGGCTATGTATACATATGTGAGCTTGAGAACTATATCAAACTAAGCGTAGCAGAGGGGGAGCGCCAAACAGCTGGAGGCAACGATCGTGGTGGGAGCAAAATCAATCATACCAACTGTAGCAGAGAAA